GATCATTTGACGATGGTACCGTTCATCTGCACACCAGCTCTCCTAATCGCTCCTTCAAGAACAATGTTGAATAGTATGTTTGAAAGTGCATCGCCCTGCTTTAATCCATCTAAGGTCACGAACGAGGTCGAAATCTCATCCGCAACCCGAACACTTGATTTGGTCCATCCAGCGTTGCGCGAATCAGTCTAATCAGTTTCGCCGGAAAGCCATGTTCTAGCATAATCTGCCAAAGCCCATTTCTCTTCACTGCTTTGAAATCAATAAACAGATGGTGAGTCTGCACGTTGTACTCCCGGATTTTATCAAGGATTTGACGCAGGGAATTTGATCCGCCGTTGATCGGCCCTCACGAAACCAGCCTGGTATTCGCCGACGAAGGACTCCTCAAGCGGTCTCAATCTGTTAAACAGAACGCGTGACACTATGTTGTACGCCGAATTCAGAAGAGATATATTGGCGCACTCTAGTCTGTGCCCTTTTGGCCCTTTTAGAATAATGGGAAAATGAGACAGGCAGTTCTCTGCTCTAGCGTTGGAGGCTCCACAGCTTGATCGTCGTCTGCGATGTTTACTCTGTTTCTTGATACTCCTTCACTCTCCCCATTCAACAATGTCTCAAAGTGTTCCTTCCACCTGACAGCAATCTGTCAGCAAATTCCCTTCAAGGCCATTGCACATGGCGCTGTTTTACTAAGCACACCATTGTCAGTCGCGTAGAACCTTCGCATATCGTTCTACTTCATACTTTCTTGCGCCTCAGCAATCACGCGTTCTTTGTATTGCCTTTTCGTTCTGCGTTGGGTTAGCTGCCCTGCTGCTACCTTGTACCGCTCTCTGTTCAACCGGGTACCAGACACTAACATCCGGCTTCTGGCAATATTCTTCTCATCCGTCAAACTCTGGCACTCTTCATAAAACCATCCATTACGTGGTCGTCTTTGAGCTGTACCTATCACTTCTTGTGCTGTTGTGTTCACCACTCCGTGGATTGTGTTCCACACATTGTTGAGGTCCTCGCTAATCCGCTCATCAAGCTTCTGGTGATACTCTGCAGCAACACCTTCTGCTGACAAGCGATGGATATTGGAACGCACCGATCTCCGGTTCGTTAAATTCGTAACGGTCGACAACAAGATAATGATCTGAGTCAATGTTAGGCCCCCTGAAAGTCCTTACATCGATAACATCTGAGAAGTGCCGGCCATCCATCAACATGTGATCGATCTGAGTGCACGTTTCGCCATTTGGATGTCAATGATTGGATGAAAGAAATCTTCCCTCCCGACCTGCGCATTTGCATCTCCGATTACAATCTTTACGTCGTGTTTTGGGCACTCATCATAAGTTCGAGACTGTCATAAAACGCGTCCTTCACGTCATCGGATTTATCGTTATTTGGCGCATAGATGTTGATCAGGCTGTAGGTGAAGAATTTTCCACGTATCCTTAAAACACAGATGCGGACGCTTACCGGTCTCCAACGCATAACACACTTCATCTGCTTCCCGATCAATATGAACCCTACTCCATCCCAAGTAACAATTGAAGTTGAACAGTAAGAACATGGGCTGATTATTTGTTGATTTAAGTTGCATAAAGCTGATTAGTAGTGCATGAAGCTAATTGTATCCCCATAATTCAACCTCAATAAGTTAGCTGATCTAAACATAGAACAAGCCTTATTTTAGCTTATCAATACTCCACAAATCAACAATGCAATACGCATATTTTTAAAGCCTGATTTGTTAAATGTAATCAGTGTCACTCATTACATTTCCAGCATTTTAGTTCTTCTAAATTCACTATCTACCTTTTTAATCCCAAGCAGCGGCAGCAGTAGAGACAATGTAGAGGAGCTTTTTAGGAATATCTCCAGGTAGAAGTGGGCTGCAACGACATTGGAAGAAATAACATTTGTATTTCTGTGTTTTGACTGCTATATTGCACTGAATTTTCAGACAGCATTCCAAAAATATAACTCAATTATGGCACTAAAAAAGCTTCCACATAACCATCGAAATAAAACTAGAAGGCTGAACAAGGGTTGGAAAAGACTGTTACTTAATGCAGTAAAAAGCTTATAATGTATAGAACTGTTAGCTTTCGGCTGATTAAAATCACCAGATTTAGATGTTTAAAAGCTGAACAAAGGTTAACGTGGTCTATGTACAACAATTATTCAAACTAAGGCGGAAGTAAAATCGATTAAACAACACTTGTTAAGCATCAAATTGTTGACTAGGATGTTTCCCTATCTCACCATAAAGCTTTCAACAATGAACCATAAACTAATGAAGTCGATCCGTAGAAAATCAAGTTTGCACGCTTAAAAATATAGGGTAGGTATACCAGTTATGGCCATACGATACTGTTATGATGTGTTCCAATTATGCCTATTAAATTCTCATAGGTCATAATTGGAACACACCATAATACGATCGTTTAGCTATAACTGGTACACTTACCCTAGGTATGATACAATATACATATATTTTTGTGTTTTTTTACGTAGGACTACGTTTGTGATTTATATATGGGGGTACACTTTGTGAAAACCGAAAATGGAACATGTAACGAAATTATGAAAGATTTTGAACGTTAATAGCTTAGCTGCTCCTGGACCAATTTCAATAATTTTATCACCAATCGATCAACAATATTCCTACGCATCTGTTAAAATTAAGACTTTATCATTTTTCAAAATGTAACTATTGAAAATTGCACAAATGTGCAATTTCCCTAACGCAGATTTCGAAGTTGAATTCAATCCGGTCTCACCAAACGGTGAGTATTCAGTACACAACGAAAGGCTCCCCGCAAGCAGCTTGCTATCAAGGCTGTCCTCAACCGCTGATCGGATTCAGTTCCAATCACCGTGTGTGGTGGTGTCCGGTCGTCTTCATCATCATCAGCAGCAGCGGCAGTGCTTTCGGCGCGTGGCGTTGAACATTGCTCTCCAGTACACAACTAAAGGCTGTCAGCAAGCAGCGATCTGCAGCCCACATGAGCATCCATAGAAAGAGGAAGAAGCCGCACCGCTATTGATCGAAATCAGTAGCTCTTCGTGAGTCGCTGTGCACCATCTATGTCAAGCACGTCATACTAAAGAGTATAAACAGAGAGAACCGCGCTAAAATTCCAATTCCTATACAAAACACAAGCTCCTGCTGCAGTTAACATATAAGATTTATTATGTAAGACCACGTAGTCTTACGTCACCATAGCGTACAATCCCATAGAGCTGTTCCTTGTAGTTTTTTTTGTCAGAGTAGCGGACCGATGGGTGAGCGTCTAGAATATGCTTCTTAAATAAGCTTCTAATAGAAGCTTCTAATAGATTCTTAGGAAGCTTCTTAAGAAGATTTTTATAGAAGCTTCTTTTGGAAGCTAGTTCTAGACGCTTGCCCGTCGCTCCGCATCTCTACCTAAAAAAACGCGGACAGGACAATAAATCTAAGTAGCTACACACTTAGAAAAATTGATATAAATTTAGGTGCTCCGACTGACACATACGAGCGGCCATTTTGACACAAAATTGAGTCATAATAGACGCGAAATTCACTTCAATCAAACGTACTTTCAAACTTTTCAGTCTCAGAGCACTTAATTTTACACGACATGTTTGTTTACGTCTCATCCTTTATGTCAAAGATGGATTCTTTCACGTGTAAAATTAGGTATTTCTAAGTGTGTTGGTTTATGGATCAAATTTAAAAAATAGTGCCCAAGACCTAAATAATATGTACGTCTAATATACGGATCACGCCTATGTTTTTTAGAGCTCAAACGTGAATTTCTGTGGCTCAAATTTATTAGTTTATGGTTCATGGTTGAACGGTCTATTTGCAATGCTTATGGGTAATTCATACAATTTCAATGCCTATTCTTTAGAAATTTAGCGGTACATTTTTACAATTGTGTTGCAAATTTTACATAAAATATGGATCATATTGATATTTTTATGGATCATTCTCACTTTTTTAGGGATTTTCATCGGGGTTTTATGGATCACTTGGATGTTTTTTATGGAGCGTTTTTATTTTTTATTCAAACGTATGTTTGCCATAGCTTAATTCACCAAAAAGCGAACCGTATGATTACAGTCGAATCGAATCAAAGGTTTCCGTAAATGGCGGCAGAACTTTGATACGGACGAGTATATACATTTTATGGACGGAGTCTCCGTTGCCAGGTGTGCCGGGGTGGTTATGACCAGAATACCTAATTTATTCCCATATCAGTATGTTACTTACCTGTCTAATATCGCCGCGTCGATAAGCGATTTGATTTAATCTCTAAGGGCATCGGTCGGTCGGTTCATAATAGTGAGAGATAGCAAAAATGGGACTGAGAATAGCTAAATGGATAGATGATGGCAGTTTTTCCCCTTACGAGACCACTCATAAACGCGATCTGGTGACTGATAATGATGTATTTTCGCGTTTCTTCCCATGGCAAGATGGGGCCGACGTAGATAGGCAATCGGAAAATTGATTCAGGAGGCTGGTGGAGGGGGAATAACGTGAATACATATAATAGAGTGCTATTAATATGCACGAATGTGTTTGTTTACCCAAGGTAAAGTGCGCCAATGATGGTTAACCTTTTTGCCGACCACGGAGATATAACTAACGCGTACAGTATATGTTTAGATTAACTGTAGTAAACTGCGCTGCTATGGATATTTTGAAGAGGTTTTACTAATCGATTTGCCTTCGTTGTCGTGTTGAAGATAATATATGTGTGTAAGTTCACATATTTATCATTTACCAGTAGTTAGTCAACCTTGAATCATGTGGAAATTGTTCCTAAGGGCACGAGATGACCATGTTCAAGAACGGGGAACATGAGAATTATTGAAATATCTGGTAATACCTTGAGAATCACGTATTGTTTATAACAAACTAACTGACTTAAGTAAGAGATAGAGAATTCCAAGTCTTACACATCTACGATAGTTACAGATTTACCCTACTTATTATGTTATCTAATTTTCAGATCCCGGTCGTAATACACCAAAGCCCTCCAAAATGTCTCTGGATCAGGTAATTAACCATTAGGGTGCTTCATTCTGAAAAAAGTGATGAATTTCTGATGGGCCACCCTCCAGTTCGATTCATAGCCCCAAAATATGAACCTGTGCAAAAATTGGTAAAGATTGATGAAGGTTTAGAGGTCGCGCCAATGATTTGAAATTTGTATGGGAATTACTATGGAAGAATTTAAAAAATCGCTTATATCGCTATAACTTTGCTTCTACTTGTCCAAATGTCGAAAAAATTTAGTATGTTATTGCTATGGCAATAAACAAAAAGCCTACAGTTGCTACGCTCAGTTTTGCAGCGTATCAAGAATTATAAAAATGTGAAAAAATGGCAAAATAGGGTAAATTGACAGATGAATATGTACAAGGCAACAACGCCAATTTCATCGCAACAACAACAGGCTTGTTGATCATTGTCATGACAACCACATATTTTTTTTTCAACGTTTGGACAACTACAACCAAAGTTAGAGCAATGTAAACGAAAATCAATAATTTCCCATACTAATTCACCAAAATCTCCATACAAAATCCAAATCATTGGCGCGACCTCTAAACCTTCATCAATCTTTACCATTTTTTGCACAGGTTCATATTTTGGGGCTATGAATCGAACTGGAGGGTGGCCTATCAAAAATTCATCACTTTTTTCAAAATGAAACACCCTATTAACCATTCTATCTATCGTCAAATAACGACATTCATTATAAATTACAGTGTTTTTCGATATATTAGCAGCACAGGCCAATCTTATAACAAAATTGATAACTTTTAAATGTTATAACGTTGATCTGTTATGACCAAATGAGCTAAAATATTCCCGACTGAGCTACCAATATGCTTAATTTTTCAATTGATACGCAAATTGACAGAATTGTCGAATCCTGATGAATGTGGGTGTCTAAACTAGAATACTTGTATAAACAAAGAGATAAGGACTAGTAATTTCCATTTAATTCCACTACGTTAATTGCATATCCTTAACAGATACGCGTATTTCGTCTACAATCTGCCGACTTCTTCAATGTCACGACTGAAAAAATCCATAGCAACTTACAGAATAAATATTGAACATATTCACTAAAGCGCTAGGTACCTATCTCTTAAGTTTAGCTTCCATACCTCTCAAGTCATGAATAACCCAAGAGTGTTAAAGTGATGCTATGGTCAATAAATAAAAATTAGACCAGCAACCAACATTTCAAAATTGAGAGAAAATAAAATCATGATGAGCCCATTAATATTACCAGCCCACCAAACAATTTGAGTTGGTTAACAGCTGAAAAGGTCATGTTTTAGCTGAAGAAGCTTATTTTTGCCTGAAAAAGCTCTTATTCAACATTCAATGTTTGTTGGGAGCACTGTAAACATAACTGGATCTTCAGCACGAATCGATGTTCCCTGTGATAGACATAGCAAGTCTAACTCAAAGCTCCTCAAACAGCTCGGAGCGATTTGATCACAATCTCGTAAAACAATGATTTCTAAAAAGAAATGAAGACCAATTACAAAAACGTGGAATTGACTCAGACAGGAGCGTACCCCTACTCTCTAAATTAGTTTGCTCAGCGTAGAACAGGCAAAGGTGATACATCTATTTTAATGCAGTTAGTCACCCTTGAAATCGGAAAACAAAAGTTGATTGACTTCCAATTCACCTCAATGTGGCGTGATGGGTGCGATTCGTTTTAACCTTTGAGTATATTACTTCTTTCAAAACTCCAGGCCGATAAGAGACCGGCATCGTTGAGTATAAAGTTAATAGACTGATAAGCAAGTTTGAGACCGGCACCGATTGTTGCATCACTCTGTTCAATTACAAATGTTATTCCCGTACACTGATAACAAACTCATCATGATAAATCACTTCGATCGTTTTCACGATAAATTATCTTTAAAAATAAATCAAAATTTCCTAATTTCAATCCACATTCGCTATTGCAGCAATTCAACGAAGCCGCCGAAAAGACGAAGACCTTCACGAAACGGCCCACGGATCAGGAGCTGCTGGAGTTGTATGCGCTGTTCAAGCAGGCCTCCGTGGGAGATAACACCACCGATAAGCCCGGTATGTTCGACCTGAAGGGAAAAGCCAAGTGGCAAGTGTGGACAGACAAGAAGGGCACCAGCCAGGACGCAGCCAAGGAGGCATACATTAAGCTGGTGGAGGAACTATCGGCCAAATATCTGTAGTACTCAAAATTAGGACTGCCTGAATGAGAAGGATCGTGGTTTGAATGGTGAAATGGATACTGACAAGGAACGAATTGATTTGCATTCTATTTATCAAGCTTTATATGTTGTCTAGTGACGGTACATAATGAATTACGAATCGTTATTTTAAACAATTGTGTTTAGTGATCCGAATTACCGATATGTTCCGTTAAATTTATTTAGTTGTATGATGCACACAAAACAAATTACAGGAACATCAAATGTAATTGTAGATTTCTTACATCCTCTGTATACGTTTTGTACAACAAATGTAATGGCAGATCTTACAATGGACTGTAGCGTTCAAGCAAGTTTATCCAAAATGATTTTGATGTTCGTATAAAATCATCACGAGATGAATACTACTTAACAAATCTTCCAATTACCACTCTGTAGAATCTGAGCTGTGCGGTGAAACATTACACACTCTGAATATGTTTTATGCAAACCAGTAGAGTAATTGATTCTGGTTGGACCTATCCAAAAACTGATGATGGTTGGACCTATTTTTTGAATCGCTAGTTTAATCAATCTTCGCTAATTTTTTGTTTCAAAGATCACTTTTATATCATAAAAACTCTTTTTCTTCAATTTGCATGGGTGTTTTATTGAAGAAAAAAAAAAACTTCAAAACAATTGAGTTTCAATGTATTTTCAAAACAGTTCACTTTTCACGCATTAGCTCGTCATCATGCCTTACTTTCAAACATACAAAAAAGGAATATTTTTTACATTTATTTTTATTTTCATGCAGAAAAATACTGCTTCAAGGTGTAAACAACACTTTAGTACGCCATTTATCCATTGGTTTCACTAAAATGTTTGAATAATTGACGAAATTCGAATAGATAAATATGATCATGGTTTGACCTACGCATGATGATGGTTGGACCTATGTGTTTCCTAAGACGGCCGCTAGGTGCGCTTCGGTTTGTTTACATCCTTCATGCGCAGCTGATTTGAAATTCGATTTCGTTTTGGCTGAGTGATCAGTTTCTTCGATTGAAAAAATGGCTAAAGAAAAGAGTTATACGGTCGAAAATCTTCAAGGTGCTGTTCTTTTAGTAAGAAATAAATCACTTACCGCGTATCAGGCACAGAAAAGGTACAATATTTCGAAAACGCGCTGCTTCTGGCAGTCCCAAGACGACCAACAAGATCTTGGAAGCTGCTAAAGACCTTGCGTTGGGCGTAAATTTAAAGGAGGAATTCCATCGTCAGGTTGGCTGAAAGGGTAACCACCGATTTCTGAACTACCACAAAAGCGTCGAAAGAATCTGTTAATATGAATTTACATTAAGCACTTCTCATACACCTTCTGTGTGTGAATTAACTTGAAATAAAATGTTAACAAACTAAAAATTGCTAACTGTAACTTATTTCCGAAAAAAAAACTCCTAGGAGAAAAAGAACTATAAAACCGGAATTAAGTTCTGATATTCTGTCATTTTAAGCCCCTAAATTCTCCGGGGGCACCCAGAACATGCCCGGAAGTGGCCAGTGTGGTCCAAGGCACTCAATTTTGTTATTGATCTTGTTATCGAATTTGGAATAGGTTTTATTCCTTCCATGTCAAAATTAGGTCCATGTTCCATATACCCTGGAACTTGTTCCGGCCATATCTCCGGAGCCAGTTGATCGATTCCAAAAATATTCAATAGCTTTCAATTAATTATATGATTTGAGTAGTAGCTATACTGAAGATCCGAGAGATGTCGCCCCTTCAGTGGTAGGAAAGTCATTTTTGCAGTATGGAGAATATCAGAAAATCCACGATTTGTGACTAAACATGCTTTCACAGAAGGAAACAAATAAACGAGTGTTTACCTTATCACCATAGTAATGTACTCCCCAACAAACAATTTGAGCTGATTAAAAGCTGAATAAGCTATGTTTTAGCTGAAGAAGCATAATTTTGCGCGAATAAGCTCTTATTCAACTGTCAATGTTTGTTGGGTCGTGCAATTTTTGTGCATCTAAAACTGCCCATAAAGTGGATAATGAATAAAAACTGAAAATTTCCATGCATTTTCAAATGGTTTCCTACCATTCCCATACATTCGAAGTGACTGGCCCTCTGGATGTGGATGATGCCAAAAACAACAAAACATGATTAATTGGACCACAATACCTATAGCACAGAGAACAGACATTGAGGCTCGAACTAAATTTCTGTGAAAACTTGTGTAAAGATTTCTATTTGACTTAGGCGCCACTAACGGTGACTTCCCCAATTAAAAACCCTCTTTAACAACATGGGCCACGGTTGTTCTCATGTATGAGGCTGGTTGATAAGGATGCAGTCACAACTCATGTTTTCGATGTTTACCTTGCAGAACAAGCAATTCACTTCGTATTGAAATACAAAACACTGAAAATCCATCTGTTTTGAACAGTAGTGTGATTCAATGTGCAATACACTTAAATTAATAGAAAAAGATTATCAACATTTCAAAGTTTCAAACACTAGAAATCAACGTGTAGAACACATTGAGCCATGGTGAAATACACTTAAAATAAATGTGATTGTACATATGAAAAATCAAGTGTTTAAACACTTCGATCCGACATGTGGTCTTTTTTTAGAGTACGTCAGGAGTAGAATAGCATTAAATCCTTCCTACGGTAGACGTAACGTCTTCGAGTATACACAATACGAAAAAGTAATGTAAATTTCGGTTCCCTGAGACCGATACATGCCCCTTTGCCATAAGAATCAGTTGAAAGAAACGAGAAAATCAATTCAATCAAACGTTCTATTCGTCGAGTACGTTTCAGGATTTGCGCTCAAAATGGATAACGTCTCATGTAAAAGAAGATATTTCTAAGTGTGTAATTATGTAAACATATTTACCCGCATAAAAAATGCAACAGCAGAAAGTCCAACTTTTTTTTCATAGTAGTAGCGTAGTAGCACAGAGAACAGACGTTCAACTTCGGTCAGAAACTTGTGTAAAGATAAGTGGGCCGCCGTTACGTGGCGTTAGCGTTTCCTGATTTCCTCTAAAAAAACTTCCGAAAACGTCTACTAGGAGCACTGTAATAAGCAAAAGAGTTTGGCTATGCTTAAATGTGATTTCGATCAGCTAAACACTCCTAAAATCTCGATTAAAGCATTATTTACGGAAATAACCGCATTTAAAGGTTTCTAACATCTAAACACCCCTAATACCACGCCCTATAAAAATAACCATAAAATAGAGCTTAACGATGTGTTCGGGGTATCATCCAAACCATTTGTGGGATAGTTTACCCATCCGGGATACAGTTCGTTTATGGTATTTGTTTATTAGGGCGGTTAAGAGCTTGTAAAGGGACATAAATACGACTCAAGATTTCGAGCGTTCATAAACCCAATTACTTTATATACGGAGATAAGTGCATTTAAAGATTTCGAACATCCTTCAAATTTCGATGTAAACAAGTCTATTATAAAAGCTACAACACGAAAATCAATTTTGCAATATATTAATAATAACATTTGATAAATTGCACTCTTCACTGCGATCTGCTTGGTTATACTGTGAATACATTGATAAAACTTTGGGTTGGAACGAACAAAACTACTTTTGAATATTTTTTTTTAAATGTTGTGGTTTTAGGCGAGCACTTGACGAGGCTCGGTAGCTCAGTGGTTACCGTTTCTGCTTACTGAGCAGAAGGTCGGGAGTTCAATCCCAGGCCCGTCGTCCCCTTCCTTGCAATTTTTCACTTTGCCTTATTCTATACCCACTAGATTTTAATGAAAACAAATTCTTCTTTAACACCGATCGCATCACTTACCACAGTGTGGGTCCTGATCTAAAAATAGAAATTGGATGAGTGCGCGCGCGTGTGTGTGTGTTTGTGTATTATAATCGCTCTACCAAAAAACGATCCCTGCGTGTGCGTGCAACCTTTCCCCACATCCAACATCCCAGTGATTTCTCGTGGAAGCGCAGAGGATTTCTCGGTTTCCTTCACAGCGAGTACCACGTCAACACATTCCTTCCCATTCCCTAGTTGACCTGCATTCGGACACGGCCGGCGCTGGTATTGCTAAATATTAGATCTCCAGTTCTTACACATTGAGGATGAATGTTAGTCCCAAACATCATCTGTTGGTTCTCTGTGTAATTGCAGCTGATCTGGTGATAACAGAGCAACAACCGTGGGCTGATTTTTTTTTCTGATTGATTTGATTTTTGTAGTTTTAGGCGAGCACCTTAAGTCTTCATGATGTTTAAGTTTAACAGGTTTCTATATCAGTTTACAGTCGTGAACTGTCAGTTTTTTTTTTATAAAGCAGTTTGATTCATGATTCAATCGTTATTGCATCCTACACACTCGCGTTTAGCTACTCTGCTATTTTTGAATTTCGGAACTGTTCGGTAAAAGTTTAAAAATCTGTGAAAAATTCAAAAAATATAATATTTATTTCGAACTTTTACCGTTAATGTAAATGTTCTGTTAACCTCATTTAATAACAAACACCAAATTTGGTCGATTTAAATGATTCCTTACGGGTAACGATCATTTTAAATTTTACAGTTTTTTTCAGCAATTCTAAAACCCAGTAAAAATGTATTGACTTCTGTAAAATAATCTTAGCGTGTTAAATATTTACACTAAGATTATTCTACAAAAGTATTTATTAAAAATAGTAATTAATTTTCAAAAAAGTTTTATTTCAAAATCATATAGTTGGTGCTGGCATAAAAATCTCTCAATTTATAACTATGGAAGTGCATCTATAACAGTAAATTGAGAGCCGCAAAACGCGACAGAATTAAAAAAAACTAGAAGAATAAGAAGAGAATTTTTTTCAAAACACCCACCAAACATTTTTTTTTTGTATTTGAACTTCAGAGAGTTGTTATAATCTACTCCATTTAAATATTTTCAAAACACTGAAGATTTCATGCGTCCAATAATTTTCATGATTCTGAAATTGGAAAAGGTTGGGGATATTATTACCGGTGCCTTATTTGATGTTTGAGTAGTTTATCTATGAATTAAATTAAATTTAATATCTCAAATAATATCCCAATCTTGAACCGTCCATAGCTTTCAGGGTCCATGATTAAGTCACAGCCCCTAATAAATATAAGTCTCACAAACTGCTAAGTATTTTAAAAATTCGAAGAACTTGAGG